TTCATGCTAAACCGACATCGTTTGGTGATTTTGGGGCGTCAACACCTTGAATTCAAATTTCTTAATGACCTAGTTTGCCTAAACCGAAATTTGGCTCTAAATCCCAAACCAGGAACCCGATTGGAGTTCCGTCTTCTCCCACAAGTCTCTCATGCCTAGGCGGTCGTGTGTGTCAAGTTTCGTGCTAAACCGACACCGTTGGGTGATTTTTGGGCGTTAACACCTGGAATTCAAATTTCTTAATGACCTAGTTTGCTTAGACCGAAATTTGGCTCTAATTCCCAAACTGGGAACCCGATTGGAGTCCCGTCTTCTCCTACAAGTCTCTCGTGCCTAGGCGGTCTTGTGTGCCAAATTTTGTGCTAATCCGACGCCGTTTGGAGATTTTGGGGCGTCAACACCTGAAATTCAAATTTCTTAATGAACTAGTTTGCCTAGACCAAAATCCGGCTCTAACTCCCAAACCGGGAACCCGACTGGAGTCCCGTCTTCTCCCACAAGTGTCTCGTGCCTAGGCAGTCATGTGTGCCTTGTTTTGTGCTAATCCGATCGCGTTTGGTGATTTTGGGTCGTCAAAGCCTCGTATTCAAGTTTCTTAAGGAAGTAGTTTGCCTAGAGTGAAATCCGGCTCTAACTCCCAAACCGTGAACCTGATTCGAGCCCTGTCTTCTCCCTCTAGTCTCTCGTGCCTAGGCGGTCGTGTGTGCCAAGTTTCGTGCTAAAGCGACGCCGTTTGGTGATTTTGGGGCGTCAACACCTCTAATTCAAATTTCTTAATGAACTAGTTTGCTTAGACCGAATTCGGCTCTAACTCCCAAACCGGGAACCCGATTGGAGTCCCGTCTTCTCCCACAAGTCTCTCGTGCCTAGGCGGTCGTGTGTGTGAAGTTTCGTGCCTAGCCTCTATCCTTTTGGGCTGTGTATAGTTAATTTATGGTTATTCTTAGCTTAAAATGCAAAGATACATTTTATACCTGATCTTCTGGTGGTGGTGTATATGAATTTTCGTCTCCTACAGATTCCCTAAATGCCCAGTGGCCACTCGATGCATTAGGAATCTATGATAGTCAATACATAATGTGTTAATCATATTCGAATTTTATTATACATATATACACTTATGTTGTGTGAAAATTTAACTATCAAACAATTTAATTTATATCAAACTTGTCTGTTAGGATCCACACTCGCCCCTTGTGACACAAAGGCCATCATCTCAGCTTTCATCTGCTGTAAATGTGTAGAGAACTCTACTCGCATCTCCTCCCTCATCTCCTCCCTCAACTCATCCCTTAGCTCCGCACGAACCTGCTGGGTGATTTGAACAATAGTCGATGGCTGCGGTGTTGACTGTGATGGCCCCGTCCCGTCTTTATACACCACTCTCCGAGGCATAGTTATCCCATATGTGCGACAATATCCATGTCCGTCATGACCTATCAACTCATGGAAAATGGCATTTCTATCCTCCAAAGTCTGGCAATGTCACGACCCGCTCCCCGTACCCTAGGGTTAAGCATTGTAATGGTCAGTAACTGAGGTTACCTTCGGCCAATTCTTAAACAAATCAATAAACGCGAGCGGAAGTAATATTTAAATGAGGATACCAAAATAATCATCGGAGCTTTTATTTTTATTACAAAATGTATTAACCAAAAAGGCCGATATTTACATATAAAAATATCATAAAAGTGCTGTGTGTGTCTATTCCGCAGCCCCGCATCTAAGACCTTCCAAAAGCTATTTCTGAATTGTATTATTTCCTGAAAATTTGTAAACAACTATAAGCACATGGTAGAGTAAGAAATATTATACCAAGAGTATAAGGGACACGAAATAACCATGGATAGTTAGTTAGGCTAAAACATTTACATAACTCAGTTTGGTAAATAAATCATTTAAGTGGCAGAAACTGAAATACAAAAATTATATAAATAAATAACCATAACCATGGTACCAAACAGAACAGAACATAGGTCACAGGAGTGACAGTCAGAACAGAGGTATGGATTCAAGAGGTGGCTCGTACAGATTATAGAGGTGGCTCCCACAATAGTGTAGCACTTATCTCTGCACAGCACTTTGCTCCACACTAGAAATCAGAGGGTTAATGGATTCATAACAATACAGAGGTACAGATTCAAGAGGTGGCTCGTACGAATTATAAAAGTGGCTTCCACAATAGTGTAGCACTTATCTCTGCACAGCACTTTGCTCCGCACAGAACAGAGGTCAATAGATCCATGACAGACAGAGGGCCACAAGGTGACCAAACAAAAGCTAATGGTTATTTAAGTCCCCCAAGGCGTGGGACTCCCGTGGTGGTATTTATAAAACATAAATGTTTATAAGGTTATAGTCAAATATTCTTTAAAATATAAACAAACATATCCATTGATTTCATTTTAAGCAAATAGGGTTCAGAAATTAATCCATGTAACTGAAATATTAATATAGTTTATAATAACTTATAAAACATAACTTGCATAAAATAAATATGGTAAGTCAAAACATATGTAAAATATATTATGGTGACTCAAAGTATAATATAACTCACTTTAACTTTAATACCTCACTCTTTCTTTTCACTATCAAGAACCTTCTTAGCTTCCATTATTTTTTCCTTCCTTCTCTCTTTTCTTTCTCCTTCTTTTCTCTCATTCTTTCTTTTCTTTCCTTTCTTTCTTTCTCTTCCTTTTCTTTCTTTTCTTTCCCAGGTGAATCACCTATTTATAAGGAGGCAGAAGCCTCTTGAGCCAATCACGTAGCAGTCCGAATCCTTCTTCTCAGATTCGTTCATAAATGTCATGGATTGATCCTTATCTTATATAAATAATTAAGATAATTACACTTTGACCTAAATTCTTAATATAATTATATAAACATAATTAATCCATAATTAAATTATACTTTATCGTATACCCACAGAAAATTAATTATTTATTTTATTATCACACCTATTATTATTATTATTTATTTATAGTTTGACCCCTAAATTCTTAATAATTATATTATTTTATAAAATTACACAAACCAATACAAAATAAATCGTATATTTTCCTAACTGTGATTAAATAATATTAGTATAAATTTTACAGAATAATTAAAAATCTGGATTGTTACAATCTTCCCTCCTTTTAAAATGTCGTCCTTGAAATTTGTCATGTGTGTAAACTATCCGCTATGCACTCTGATAAAATATTAGATGATTAATCTGATAGAAAATATTACCTCAAAATTTTTTTCCAAAAACAACTCACTGTCTAGTTGTCAAAATTGATTTGGGCCAAAATGAGAAATTATGGGTGACTTTAAAAAAAATTTCACTCATTTTGTTTACGATAAAAAAAAAAAAAAATGAGAACACAATGACAGAATCATATGTAAGAGTTGAAAAAAAAAATTGAGGTGAATTTTTCATTGATGGGAAATAGTTTCAAAATTAGTATCTTTATAATTTGAACTCACTTTTAAGAAGTCGAAATAAATTTTTTTTTCTTGAATACTGAACTGAAAATTATATATATTTAATTATGTTATAATTTTTGTGGGTCCTTGAGCCCGACATCCTTTGTTTCTTTTCCTTCTGTTGCTATAACAAATATAAATTATATCTATTATCCTTTACAAATTATACACAAAAAAAATTAATATATATATATATATATAAAATCATTTAAAATTATAATATAATTAAATCGACTAACAAAATATAATATTTAGGTACTAATTACCCGCTATCCCACTTCTTAAATGTGCATGTGTCCTATGCTCCAATGATGATTTTTTTTTTTTGACAAACCATTGCTCTGATACCACTTGTCACGACCCGCTCCTCGTACCCAGGGGTTAAGTATCGTGATGGCCGTAGGTAACCTCAGTTACTGGCCATCACGATGCTTAACACTTGGGTACGGGGAGCGGGTCGTGATAGACAATCCTCAGGTAGAATAGAGAGTTGACGATTAAACTCATCCTGTATTGAATAAGACATACAAGTATATGTCAAATTAAGATGGTTGACACACAAAAAATAAAAAATAAACTTTAAATACAATGTTTGGTGTTTGGAAACTACCAAGGTCTGGATAACCCCAGGGCCATCTGCTCTACGTGTCATAAGCCAAACATTCATTTTATTAGTAGACTCTCCTTTATTGGTCATCTAGATTTTTTTAGAAATATGAAAATTAGAATCCAAATAATTTGCAAAAATACAATGTTTATTTATATACAAAAATAATAAAATATAAACCTCATGCCCTATCTGAGCGAAAGTAGTACGCCTTGTGGTATGAGTTATGCTGTGAGCTCGCCGATTTTTAGCGTTCTTAGTTGCAATTTTCTATAACAGGTTCAACAAATGTAAGTATATAAATATGATTTGTATGTTTAAATATCATACATATAACTTATTTGTATACCTCAGCATCGGAAGTACGCCAATACTCCACAAGTTTTTCCCACTGGCTTGGTACAATGTGCAAAGGAACATCATCCTTCAGATTAGGATCAGAACTTCTAGGTTTGAAATACTTAGTCTTAATCTTATTCTTGTGATCCTTCCATATGCTGTTGCAGGCTTTCATGCAGATTGACTTATACTCCTCTGGACATATATTCAAATTGTCCTATAAAACACAATTTCAAAGTTTAAATAATAATAACACAATTTTGGAATTTGAATTTTTGGACAAAAATATACTTTTACCTTCACATCCTTCCAGATAGTATCAAGAATATCATCAGGCACAATGTTCCAGTCAAGAAAAGTAAGAGGAACAATGTTACCATTCTGCACAATAATGCCAAGTTGAGTAGTTAACTTAGATACGTTATCCCCTATTGGACAGTAATTTTCATCAAATTGTATGTCCAATTTTGTACCAGTACCCCACTCAGGTCCCTTGCAAGTATCTTATTTCGTGTGGTAATCTTATCTAGTAACTTATTTAATTTAGTGATGGTGCTTATCTGGACACAAATTACAGGCCTTTACAATGATAGGAAAGCAAGAAGGGCTTAAAGGGTACTGGAAAGGCAACCTTCCTCAGGTCCCTTGCACCCTTCTCCTTCTTTTCTTTTTTTTCGATAAATAAAATTTATTAAAGAAAAAACATCAAGGATATGCTAAAGAATTACAGAAATCACGAGCCCCAAAAGAGGGGAAAAGAAATTAGCCAATCACATTTACTCTCCTACGGATAAGGTTTTTTCTTATACTAATCTATTCCCGTAGGTTTTTGTTGAGTTTCAATTTCTAAACCTTTTCAATTCCAGGTGATACATGTCATACCTTATAGTGTAGTCCAGCTGTTTGCATATGAAACCTACAAGGTAATAGCAAAACTATTTAATAAAAATTCCTAACACTCCATCTTATATGTATCTATGGTCTTTACTGTTTCAAACATTTGATTAGTATTTTACGTACGAATTTCTAGAAACTTCTTAGGGGGAAGGATGGTGAGCTCTCTATTATTGAAAGACTCACTATTGGTGCTTTTGCTGGCATGACTTCAACTTTTGTGAGTAATATAGCAAATGAGATCGCTTCTGAACTCAACTTTATCGGTGATTATCTGTATTGGATCTTGTATTTTCTATATTAGTACCCTATATGTATGTCTATTAACAAATATTAAAGCCTATAATCCTTGCTATTTGTTTCTTTATAGGTAACATACCCTCTTGATGTCTTCAGGTTAAGATTAGTTGATGAGCCTGGGTATAAAACAATGTTTGAGGTAAGACTGACCAATTTGAATTGTATTTCTGAAGGAGTTTCTCTACATATCATGGGTTTTATTGGATTGTTTTCAGGTTGCCTTGAACATGCTAAGAGAGGAGGGAGTTGGGTCTTTTTATACTGGCCTTGGGCCTTCTCTTATTGCAATAGCACCTTATATTGCTGTGAACTTTTGCATTTTGACTTGTGAGCTTACTCTTTCAGCAATATATTTTTCTCTATTGTTTATTAAATGATATACAAATATAATATTTGTATATCTTAAATTTGGATCTATATATTAGGATGAAGAAGTCTTTGCCAGAGAAGTATCAAAAGAGGACTGAAAAATCTATGGTAACAGCTTTGCTGCCATCTACTCTTTCCACGGTTATGTGCTTTCCTTTGAATACAATGAGAAGGCAAATGCAAATGAAGGGTACACCTTCAAGATAGTTTGGATGCCTTTTCAGGTAACTCAATTCTTTTAATTATCAACTGTTGTAAACTAACAGAAATTAATGCGAATCGTATCATAATAAACCTTGGTTAATTCTATCTATAACATATCCAAAGTTGTAAGCATTTCATTTATGCTTTCATATGTCTTTAGTAAAGCAGAGGAAGCCTTTATTCTCAACATTGGGAATAGACTTAATAAGGTCATATGGTGCGTATCTTGATATACATACATATATAAAAATCAAGTCATTTCTTTGCGTAAAGAAAGTATTTATGTACCATGCACACACATTTAGTTAGCTACTATCAATAAACTGAACATAATAGGAGATCCCTCACGACTTTCATCTCAAATGATCCCCATCCCCTCTCACCCATCCCTCTCTCTTCCACTCTTTCTGATTTACATGTTCAACTTTCAACAATCCAAGTGCATCTTCTAAGGAGACATATATAATACATATATATATAGAGAGAGAGCATACAGGCGTCACTCGCTGAGTGAGTGAGAGAGGAGCGCTTGAGATGGATTGAGCTCGCGCGAGAGAAAGATAGAGACCCCGCACCACTGCTAGCCGTAATGCGCCGTCGCCGCACCACCATTTGCCGTCGTCGAGGGCGATTGAGCCTGCTCGCAGTCGTCGCTCGTCGAGAGAGAAATCATCGGTGAACACTCGAGTTTGTTTGGGGATTTTGGGGGAAAAAGATCTTGTTTCAAAGATTTAGGGATTTTGGATCAAAATAATCGAGCGCCAAACAATAGGAGAAGCAGGACAAAATTTTTTTATTACTTTTTGTGACGGTATATTTAAACTGTCACAAATGATAAATAAAAATAGGTAAAACGACGCCGTTTTACTAATGTTTTTTTTGTAATGGACATTTGCCGTCGCAAATTGTCCACTATTTGTGATGGCAAATTTCTCCTGTCTCAAAAAAATTCTTTTTGCGACGGTACACAAAGGCGTCGCGAATACTTCCATTTTTATCACACCTTTTCGTGTATGTTTATTAGCGATGGGATGACTATCGTTGCAAAAGCTATTTATTTGCGACGGTTTAAACTGCCGTCGCAAAAGATCATTTTTTGCGAAGGGAAACGCGCCGTCACAAAAAGTCTCGTGTTTTATATTGCCTTTTCTTGTAGTGTTAGCCATATATTATTTTAGGATCATGTTAAGATGGGCCGAGATACCAATGCAAATTTTAGGATAAATTACAAACACAACCCCCGAGATTTACTTAAATCACAAATTACCCCCAATGGTTCTAGAAATTACATTACGCCCCCTAAGGTTTTTAATTTCATAACAAATATGTCATTTTATTGATAAATCATTAAGTTAATTAACAATTTTTAATAATGTTAAAATTTTATTTCAATTAAAAAATCAGATAATTTTATTATTGTATAGGTGAATAGTTAGAAATTTCACATTTTCAATTAATTTTGTTAAATAAAAAATTCTGATAGGAAAGTATTTGTAATTTTTTAAACCACAAGGGACAATTTGTATTTTAAATAAATCTCAGAGAGTGTATTTGTAATTTACTTGAAAATTTTAATTTCAATCCATTTATCAAACGAGTTTAAAATATTAGTCCAGCCCAACTTACGGGCCCAAACACTATTTCCAAACCTAAAAATGTAGGTCTAAATTGGGGTCGCCAATAGTTCGATACCCAGAGTCAGAGAGGGTCGATGTCTCAAAACAACCTCCTGCCATAATCAAATCCCAAAACTTGGACAAGTTTGAGAGAGAGAGAGAGAGAGAGAGATGGCTGGGTTGTTGGCATGGGCAACAGATGTGGTGGGAGGTAGAGGGCAGAGTAACGACGAAGATGATATCAGTGCAATCCTAGTAGCTTTCACTCTAGAGTAGCAAAATAGTCAATAAGATAAAATGTCATATCAAATTCATAATCATTTCACTTTTTCTCTTACAAACATCACTTCCAGTGACAAAAAAATCCAACCATTTTCCTAAACACAACTATTTTAGCATATTAAAAAAGCTAAAAACTAAAATAGTCTATTAAAATAGCCAACTTCCTAAACACCCACATAGTGTTCTTGAAGTCTAAAAATTATGTTAGTTGGAGGAGATTTCTGTAGAGGTTTGTTGAACTAATGATGGAATTTATCCCTTTTTTTTCTTGCACTTTGCAAATGGAAGGGAATAGGCTAGGTATGGACCGGGTTGGATTGGATTGTAATGTATTGCATTCGGGTGCAAGATGTTTAAACATGTTCTAGTAATGCCTAATCTTTGAGGCCAACTGTGCTATGTGCACAATTTTATTTTTTTATTTTTACAAAATAAGAAATAGATGTAATTCAAAATATTTGCATATAACAACACATTAATGATTTGGTGTGCATAATTTTCTATGTTCCCAAATTTCTTCCTCGCAGTTCTTGAATCATGAAATTCTTAAAAAGAGATTAAAAGAAAAAAATGTGAAGCACAATAGCAGGGCATGCAAAAAAATAAAAATAAATAAATAATAACAATTGCCTATCTATGTATGTAATTTTTATCTATTAAAAATAGGAAGAAAATATTTATAGAATCAAATTGCACTTTGCAAATGGAAGGGAATAGGCTAGGTATGGACCGGGTTGGATTGGATTGTAATGTATTGCATTCGGGTGCAAGATGTTTAAACATGTTCTAGTAATGCCTAATCTTTGAGGCCAACTGTGCTATGTGCACAATTTTATTTTTTTATTTTTAAAAAATAAGAAATAGATGTAATTCAAAATATTTGCATATAACGACACATTAATGATTTGGTGTGCATAATTTTCTATGTTCCTAAATTTCTTCCTCGCAGTTCTTGAATCATGAAATTCTTAAAAAGAGATTAAAAGAAAAAAATGTGAAGCACAATAGCAGGGTATGCAAAAAAATAAAAATAAATAAATAATAACAATTGCCTGTCTATGTATGTAATTTTTATCTATTAAAAATAGAAAGAAAATATTTATAGAATCAAAGTTGTGTAACTAGTACATTTTGTAAAAAAATGTATGGTACATAGAAAATCGATGGCTAAGATTGAGCCACATCATTAAAAGTGACCTGCTAAACATGTCACTTTTTATAGTTACGAGCCAAAATCATATTTCTTCATAACTATAATCAAATTGATCATAACGTAGTCATAATCATATCTCATAACCAACACCATTTTGTTCATAACTAATATCACATATTCATAACCACATCTCATAACCAACCTCTTTGAGTCATAACTAACATCACATATCTCATAACTCGTAGTCACATATTTCATAACCAACACTTTTTTTTTTTCTTTTCATAACCAACATCACATATCTTATAACCATTAGTCACATATCTCATAACTAACACTCTTTTGCTCATAACTACACCACTTTGATCATAGCCAATATCACATATCTCATAACTATTACCCACATGAATCATAACCATATCTCATAACCAACCCCTTTAGTCATAACCAACATCACATATCTCATAACCACTAGCCACATATCTCATAACTAACTACCCTTTTGCTCATAACCAATATCTCATATCTCATAACTACTAACACATAGAGTATAACCAAACAGCCTTTGACACCACTTTGCTCATAACCAACAACACATATCTTATAATCATTAATCAAATATCTCATAACCATTACCCACATATCACATAACCAACATCACATATATCATAACTACTAATCACATATCTCATAACTACACCACTTTGATCATAACCAACATTACATATCTCATAACCACTAATTATATATCTCATAACCAAACACACTTTGACTTGTAACTACACCACTCTGCTCATAACCAAAATCACATATCTAATAATCACTAATCATATATCTCACAACCTTTACCCACTTATGTCATAACCACATCTCATAACCACCATTTGCCTCATAACCAACATCACATATATCATAACCACTAATAACATATCTCATAACCATTACCCACATATAGGGGTGTAAATTTGGCCCACGAGCTCGCGACATACCCCAAGTCTAGTCGCGCCCTGGGTGGGCCCAACCAGGCCTGAGCCTAAGTCCAACCTAAGACCCTGGGTTATGTGTTCTAGAGCTTGGCCTGACTCTGGTGTGTTATGGAGTGTGCCCCATCTCGTGACCCGAAATTTTTTTCCCCATCTAGCCTGACCCAATCCCAATGGCTCTCTGCCCTCCTGTTAGTGCAACAGTCAAAAATTAAAAAAAAAAAAACTGAAACAGTCATATAACCGTTAATTCCACAAACAACAAATTTTATTTATTTTTTATTTTTATATATATAAATTAACCCCTCCCTCCCAAGTCCTATAAATACCACCCCTCCCTCATTTTATTTCTCACAAACAAATCTGTCTCTCAAACTCTCATTATCTCTGAACTCTCAACTCTCTCAATTAATTTTGAAGTGTCATCCCTAAGTGACAATTACAATTGATCACCTATCTCTATTTTAAATTTATTTTTAGTCATAGTATCTTCATTAAATATAATAGAAATAGTAATGTACAAACGATGTACTTTTTAAAATATCTATATACACTTATAGACATATATATATATATGTCTATATATATATATATAATTTAACTAAATTTTAATAAAAAAATATGTTGAAAAAAATTATCTATGACGTAATTTTATTTTGTTCTACTAAATAAATTTTCTCCTAAATTTTTTTCCCTAACTTTTCTTCGTTTTTTTTCTCTACTCTGTTTTCTTTCCCATGATTTGTCCTAATTATGCCTGAGCTCTCTCTATTTCTTACTCAGACTTCTCTATTTCGCTCAAATTATCGAACCACCATTGTTGATAGTTCTTTGTCACTGGATTCTTCCTCTCTCTACTC